GTCACGTTCTTTCCGGATCCTTCAACAGATCACAGGCACTGAACGTAGTAAGTATCTAAAGAAGATAATTATCTATAGCTCAGGGTTAAACTATATAGTTCTTGGTGCTCTTTTAACTTGGTCATTTGCTTGCAGATGTTTCATTATCCAACTAAGTAATGTTATACAAGTGTGCTTTCAGGTTCAGCTTATGATCACACACTCACAGGCCACACTCAATCCCCAATCAACTGAACACTGAGGCACAAACACAGGCCCAAATACACCCAGTGAATTTAAAGTAACAGCAAACTTTTACTGATATATTTTTGCTCTTACACAACGCATGCTCTCTCATCCACCCTTACCCAGCATCCACTATTAGGTTGCCACGCACTACCCAGAGGGATGGAAGCCACCAAGTCTGGGATCCAAAAAACGACTCAAGTAGACTGGGCAGGTTTCAGGACCTCTTTTTATCCCCTAGAGCAGGGGTGTCAAACTCAATTTCATTGAGGGCCGCATCAGTATTGCGGTTGCCCTCGGGGTGTGTGTGGCCAAGGTGGGTGTGGCCTACTGGTGGGCGTGGATGGAGTGGGTGTGGCCTACTGGGTGGGCATGGCCAGCTCTACATCGTTCGCGTCAAGGGTGCCTGTGGGGGCCTGGGCAGGAGTGGGACAGATCTGAGGGTCTCTGGCAGAAGGGGCAAGCACAAAGGCATGGTCCATTTCTTCATTCCTCACAAAGGGTGACACCTCCCCAGCATGCACCCAGGGGGCGGGGCCAACACAGCAGGGGCTGGTTTCTTGCTGTTTCTAGATGGCCTTGTGGAGCTAAGACTAAATACATTTCAGCATAGATGGCCACCACAAAATTGTACATTGGCTCCCGGACGGCCTGGACCAGGGCCAAGGCAGCGGGGGCTGTTCCCTCACTGTTTCCAGGATGGCTTCGCGGGCCACATGAAACCACTTCACGGACCGCATCCGGCCCCCGGGCTTTATGTTTGACATGTCTGCCCTAGAGTTTATGGGGAGGGGCTTTCCATGCAGGCCCAACTCCTTTGTTGGTGAGACTTGGGGAGGGGCTTGCCATGTGGTCAAACCCAACTTTTGTCCTTTTGTTCTTTAATGACTTGGTTCCAGTGGTAGGATTCAGCTGTTCACACCACTTCTGCAGAACCGGTAGCTAATTTTTTGTTGCCCAGGCCCAGAGTGGACTTCCAGAAGCGGCATCCATACAGAGAACCAGTTGTTCACATATTTGAATCCCACCACTGCTTGGTTCCTTTCCCTGAGGGAGCTTTTTCTAACTTTTGTCCACCCTGGTTACATGCCGTCGCCACATTTAGGAATGGTGGCTTTGGCCTAGTCTCACAGTAACATCATCATCATGTTATCTGGTTGAATAATGAAACATCTGTAAGCAAATACCAAGCTCAAAGAGCACCAAGGACTACAGAGTAATAACTAGTCAGTACAATAATATAGAACTGATGACTCACACATATGCTATATATCTATATATTTACGCATTTTACTTTGGTTTTTTTTTCAGTAAAAATTAAATATCTAGGCGGACTTCTTGCCAGGGTTAGACAAATCTGTTGATTTCTTCACTTTCTTATTTTTCTCACTTTAAAATTTAATTCAGCCTATTTCCACATGATTAAGATTTTTTTAAAAAAATGCATAAAGAGTAGTAGTTCAGCTTTGAGAATCCTCCAGGAAAAAAAGAATTCATTAACTCATTCATATTCTCACCCTTTATCATTAATGCTGTATAAATATAATAATCTAAAAGTGGTATTTTTACTTTTTAATTCAAAGGAATTAGTAATGAAATATAGCAGCATTGTATATTTGGCCAAGTTTGAATGGTAAAGAACAAAACAGTAATAAATATGTGAGAAATTAATTCTGTGACCCTGGTAGGTCTTTGAACTTAAGTTCTTTTCATGAACTACAGAGCCGATACTTTGAAAGTGGGAAAGTTTTTAACAGCACTTTGCAATATGTTTACTAAGTGGTTTGCTGAATGCAATAAATACTGATGGGTTATAAAAATTCACAGAACTTTTAAGTAGCAATTTAAACTGTGGGCAGGGTATTGTATATATGTACATTTCAGAGCAGCAGTGGTGAACTCTTTGGGCCCAGTGTGTCAAAAATTCAAAAAATGCCCAATTTTGGTGTGTCACATACAGACTAAAGAGAAACAATTCATAACAAAGATTCGCTTTGGATAGTGAGATCGGTGGCACATAAAATAAATAAATAAGCAAATAAATACATAATTGTAAATATTTTTCAATTTGTCTCTCAGAAAAAAATGCCTAGCTGTGGCAGTTCAGGGTCACATGAGGCTTGGAAACTTCGGAAAATTGTCTTGTGTCTCTGAAAAGAGTGGGAAAGCATGCCCCATTCTTGCATGCTTTTGGGTGGCTCCAGATCCCACGTGAGAGGCAAACCCTCCTGTGCAATGTCCAGCGGTCAAGAGACCACATGACAGTACACCACATGTGCCAAAAATGACATAGCATGTGTCATAGGTTCGCCATCGCTGTTTAAGACCATCATAAGGCATTCGTAACAATAGAATGTTTAGATATTAGTCTTGTCATAAATTAAGGATAAAAGTTTCATGGATCAATGAAGAAATGGCAACTTCATGGAAACTGAATAAATGGCTTATTTTGTTGCAGTGAAAGAACCAGAATCAGACAATCTAAAGAAGACAAAGTAAGATAATTATTTTTTTAAATATATATATATATATATATTGCATGGATTTGCTTTGATGTATTAAAAGAAGTCTTTAAGATGTCACAAGATTCTTTAGTTTTCCAAAAATCATGGACATTTTAAAGTTCTGGTTCTTGTTTGTATGGCATTTATTTTTAAAATAAATTGGGATAGGTCTAAAACTGCTGATTTAACATTAGTTATTTTAAAAAGAAATTTGCATAAAATTGAATACTTATGTAGGCATCTAAAGTTATTAATAATACTTACATAAAAATGGAATGGTGTCATCAGTTGAAAGGAATATTTTTAAAAAAAATAGAACTAGTAATCAGAAGTTTAGACGTAATTCTTTAATCTTTTTAAACGTTTTAGGAGTTTGATCTTTTTGTTATACTAAGCAGATTTAGAATTATATATTTCACTACTGAAATATAGGCCAAATGTCAATTTTAAAATAAGTTTTTATGACAAAACTAACAAGAATTGCAATGCTACTGAATTTTTATTTAAAAAAAACATTACCAGTGAGGCAGGTCACTGCAATTCCTAACATGTCCTGATACCTTTAGCTTATGAATATTTGAAATGTTATTGTGTCTTCTATCTGTCTTGGACTGAGAATGGTCCTATTGACTGCAAGGTGGAAGTCTTTAAAAGAATAAGAGTCTGTATCCTTGTTTTATTATTTTCCTTTAGAAGATTTTATTATTAAAAATTGTATTTTGCTCATCATTACTGAGTTTTCCTAGGATAGCTTACACTGATCAGAATATTAAAAAAGCTGAAATCAAAACAATAATTAAATGTAAAATATATGCAAAATAGCAGAATCACAAAGCTTCAAAGAAACACAAAATATCAATATTTAAAATATAAATCTTTTGTCTGCTGCTAGAAAGATAACAAAGAAGGTGTTAGGTGTGCCTCTCTGGGTAGGGTTTTTTGCTATTGCCTGGTAGCTTTTTATCACATTACAACATGAGGTTACATCTGGAACAGAACCTCTGAAGATAACCATAGAGAAAACATATAATCATATAGGACAGGCATGCCAAACTCGTGACCTCACATGACGTCACGTGACATATCACGACTTTTTCCCCATTGCCGATTTACCCTCATTTCTGGCATTGGGCTGGGTGCGGTTTCGGCGTGACGTATCTGGCCTGCGGGCTGGCAGTTTGACATGCCTGATATAGGAAGAGGCAGTGTGATCTTGATTCAAGTTAGCTGGTATTTAAATCTTGAGTACTATACAGAGTTATAAACCTATATTCTATGAAAGTTGTCTCAGTCAGAGTAAGTTTCTTCAGTTATAGCTGGCTGGTGTTTGAACAGTT